TGCCTCAGATGTGATCAAATTCCATACCTCTTCTGGGGTGGCTTTCACTTACAGATTTCCACAGCGATCAGAATTGGCGGCGGCAAAAACGAAACACAACGAAATAGGACAAGCCCTTGGGCGTCAAGTGGCTTTTCCTTAGAAAGCCCCACACCCGTACGGTGCCCTCAGCCCCTGTGTGGCAGGCATGTGAGGAGGCATTGGGATATCTTTACAGAGAATGTAGTGTGAGCCCCCTGCAGCAGCGGGGAACTCCCTCGTCCAGGTGCTGGCTGAGGGGAAGGCATGTCCTCATGCATTAGCTTTTTTACGGAACCAGGGTACCTGTCGCTTAGAGAAGTGTACCTCGGGGCATCCCCATACCAGTGGTTTTGGAAGGAGCCAGGATTCTACTTTCCTCTCGTGTTCTGCAGTTCTAGGATCAAGCAAAGCACGGCAGCGTCGTTCTGGGGTCAGCGAGACCTGGCTTCCAATCTGGCTCTCCCACGTCCCAGCTGCGTGCTGGGGACGAGGGTCAGAGGGGTGGGGGTGAGGAAGGCTGTGGCGATGAGAGTGGCGTGGGTGGTTGTGATGAAAGGGGAGGTGGCCATTGTGACTGTGGTGGTGCTGATTGGAGGTAGCAGTCGTTAAAAACGACTGCTGATGGCGCCGCCAGTAGGACCGCAGTGAGGTGGCAGTTGGAGTGGAATGAGTCCTGAGACAGTCGGGGAGAGCACGGAGGGAGGGCTGAGGGTCCGTGGAGTTTGCCAGGTGGCGTAGCCCGCCTTGAGTGACGTTCCTACTGTAGTTTCATTCTAGGCAATTCACTTTGCAGTGGATCTCACAGGCAGGCCTGGGAATGGCAGTGGAGTAGGAGGTCCCCCCAGGTGCCCACACCCTCCTTGGCTTCTAGGCTCTCTGGCAGCTCTCATCCAAACCGGTCCTTCAACGCTGCAGGCCCTGGGCTGAGTTCATGTAATTCCCACCAAGGAAAGGAGAGGGCTGGGCAGGCATTCAGGCAAGAAGGTGACAGAATTCCCATGCCTACAATAGGGCTAATTCAAAAACATGCCGCTTGGCTTTGCAACTGGCTCTTGAGCTGTGCCAAGACTTTAACTCCTAAGGAAACCTGAATTTGAAAACATAACGTATATTCAAAAATAACCATTGAACCAGATGTGTCAGTGTTTCCTCCTTTCCTCCCGGGGGCTAGGACGTCACGCAGTTACATGAAGCTTCGTTCTGGAGACCAAAATATTTTCAGTTTTCAAGATTCAAAGAAACAGCCTTTTCTAAATTGTGTTTTTCTCAAATCCATATGCCTAGCAGCCTCATTTCATCCACCTCCACATTTCTCAGTTAATCACTTGAACGTTTACCGACAGGCCACATGGCTCTGTAGCTACTTGCTTTGAAAATAAAGCCATAATAGTTTCT